GGGGTTAATTTACTAACATGACCAATTGAGTCCAGATTTTACCTGAGATATTACTTTGATAAAAGCAATAGCTGACATAGGCATCCAGAAAACAAAATCGGGCATTTATTTATATAAAAATTTACATGGAATTTTTAATTAATAGCAGTAAGCCACAATATTTATATTTTATCTGAAAATCGCATTACCCATAAACTCTTCTCCTCCCCCCTTCCTGTCCCATTTGATTTAAAGGGAGGTAAAGTAAGTTTTTAAGCTTATTAACTGCTTTTTCCTGGTTTTATTTATTCCCTGAGCATCCTAGGATGTTTTTAGACTTGTAATTCTTAGGGGAATTGCCTCAGGAAAGAAATCATTTTCTTTTCATTGGGCTCTGAATTAGACAAAATATGGATTTAGATAAGTGTTTGAAGCCTCCTGCTTTCTCTTTCTCAGAAGGGGCATTGAGATACCCCTGTAAGCGGCAGACCTTGTAGTGCTCACCTCAAGTTCTGTACTATAGCATTATAGAGCCATTCCTCCTAGAATGTCCAAAGACAGATATTCTATTCCATCATGTTTTCCTGTATATATGAACTGACACACAGAGCCAGCCACTGTTGGACACGTTACTTTACCCATGATAATTTAATACTTTAAAAATTGTGTTATCTCAGTTTGTTCTTATGATCTGGAGAGGTCTCCTTTTTTTCTCCAAATTTAAAAACTTTATTTTCAGTACAAGTTAAACTTTTTAAGTTACAGTTCAGTGGATTTTAGTATATTCACACAGTTGTATAACCATCAACCACAATCAATTTTAGAACATTTTCTTTACTCCAGAAAGAAACCCCATACTTGTTAGCAATCACTCCCCCTTTCCTCTTTTCTTTTATCTTTTTAAAACATTTTTTTAAATTGATTTCAGGGAGAAAGAGAGAGGGAGAGAGTGAAACACCAATGATGAGAGAGAATCATTGATCAGCTACCTCCTGCACGCCCCTTACTGGGGATTGAGCCTGCAACCCAGGCATGTGCCCTTGACTGGCTGATGCTCTATCCTCTGAGCCAAACCAGCTAGGGCCTCCTTTCCTCTTATCCCGGACCCTAAGCAAGCACTAGTCCACTTTCTGTCTTTATAGATTTGCCAATTCTGGAAGTTTCATGTAAATGGAACCATATAATACAGTGGCTCTCAACCTGTGGGTCGCGACCCCTTTGGGGTCGAATGACCCTTTCACAGGGGTCGCCTAAGACCATCGGAAAACACATATATAATTACATATTGTTTTGTGATTAATCACTATGCTTTAATTATGTTCAATTTGTAACAATGAAAATACATCCTGCATATCAGATATTTACATTGATTCATAACAGTAGCAAAATTACAGTTATGAAGTAGCAACGAAAATAATTTTATGGTTGGAGGTAACCACAACATGAGGAACTGTATTAAAGGGTCGCGGCATTAGGAAGGTTGAGAAGCACTCACTGGTCTAGGAGATCAGACCCCTCCTCTCCAGGAGAGTATAGAAGTCCCGGAGGCCCTCTGGTCTAGGGGGAGTGTCTTCCCTCCACACTCCCTGGAACAGGATCACTGCTCCACCCCTGTGGCCAGCAGGCGTTGTCTGCACACAGTTACTCTGGCTATCCCCTCCTGTAGCTGCTTGGCCAGCGAGCAGAACACAGCCCGGGGCCATAGCTCAGCAAGAATTAAATCTTTATGTGAAGGCTTCTCGGCTACAGCTCCATAGCCTGAGTGGTGGCCCAGGTGGCCGCCACTGCCAGCTTCACCTTTCCCCCACCGGCTCCGCTCCGGAGGCTTAGCCTCTCAAGCTGCATCTCCTTGGGGACCCTGCAACCCGGTTGGAGGAAATACAACCTCTGTTGGGCGGATGGAGCACTTACCCCTAAATCCTGTTCCTGATGCCAAGTGTCAGGAGCATTCGCTCCTGAGTCCCCACATACTCCTGAATCTTGCTGCAGCGAGTGGAGAAACTTACTCCCCAACAAATAATAAAAAATTATTATTTTTTAATATATTTTATTGATTACAGAGAGGAAGGTAGAGGGTTACAGAGTTAGAAACATTGATCAGCTGCCTCCTGCACACCTCCTACTGGGGATGTGCCCGCAACCAAGGTACATGCCCTTGACTGGAATCGAACCTGGGACCCTTCAGTCCGCAGGCCCACGCTCTATCCACTGAGCCAAACCGTTAGGGCCCCAACAATACTTTAAAAGAAAAAAAAAGAGCTGCCCAGTCAGTGTGGCTCAGTGGTTGAGCATTGACCTATGAACCAAGAGGTCACCGTTATTCCTGGTCAGGGCATATACTCCAGTTGTGGGCTTGATCCACAGTGTGGGGTATGCAGGAGGCAGCCGATCAGTGATTTCTCTTAATATTGATGTTTCTCTCTCTCTCTCTCCCTCTCCCTTCCTCTCTGAAATCAATATAAATATATTTAAACAAATAAAAATAAAAATTTTTTAAAAGAGTTTCTGTCAGGAAACCACAATGCTCCTGGTGATTGCTCTTGTCACTCTTGACCCATTGCAAAGCATCCACAGTTGTATGATTGTTATGCACAAGGTCCTAACCAACCTCACAGTAAACCATTCTTTGGTTGTTTTTTATATTTTTATTTCAGAGAGGAAGAGAGAGGGAGAAAAATAGACGCATCAATGATGAGAGAGGATCACTGATCGGCTGCCTCCTGCATGCCCCCCTACCAGGAATGGAGCCTGCAACCTGGACATGTGCCCCCAACCAGAATCGAACCTGGGACCCTTGGGTCCGCAGGCCGGTGCTCCATCTACTGAGCCAAACCGGCGCTAGGTCATTCTTTGGTATTTTACAAAGATGTCATTCTTGGCTTCTAAAATGAAAATCATTTGTGCCCAAGCCATCATTTTCCATTTATACATCCTGTTTAATTAGAAAGTAGTTTCTAAAGTGTCCCATTTTTTAAAAATATATTTTTATTGATTTCAGAAAATTACCGAAAAATCGGTATAGCGGTCTGGTAGGGTTAATTGTCAAAATGTATGTAATAAGATTATGGTTGCTGGGCAATGGCAAGATTTGAAATTACATGTTGCCACAGTAACTTCTAAATATTTTTATTGATTTCAGAGAGGAAGAGAGCGGGAAAGATAGAAGCATCAATGATGAGAGAGAATCATTGATTGGCTGCCTCCTACATGTCTCCTACTAGGGATGGAACCCACAACTGGAATCGAACCCCGGACCCTTCAGTCCACAGGCCAACACTCTATCCACTGAGCCAAACCAGCTAGGGCAAGTGTCCAGTTTTTTTAATCTAATTTGAAGTGGCAGATGGCAGACGTACACATGACCTAGATGTTTCAAGTCTTTTTGCTTACTCATGTGCACAGGTCCTTTGGTAAAGCCAGCTGCTGGTGTTGGAGGCAAGCAGACCTCCTGGGCAACCCAGGCCTCGTTTGTTTCATTGCTGCCACCTGCTGGGGCCTGGACTCTGGAATGTGAAGGCTGCTCAAGTGGTGGAACTGAGCCTGTCCAGATCCAGATAAGGAACCCATTTGTTGTTCCAGTGCTAATCAGCTATTGTTTCTAGGTGACAGCCTGCCCCTAAATGAAAGGACTTTATAAACTGTAGAGCATGATACCTGGGTAGGGTGGTGTGTTAGATTATGTTGGTTGATGCAGTGGTGGGGATCTGGAGAACACTTCAGGGACTCAAACATCCTGGAGAATTAGAGTTGTGAGAATCCTTAAAGCAGATGCTGTGGAACAACTTAAATCAGAGTCTCTTAGAGGCTTTTTTTCTAATTAGTGCCTCATTTCAATAAATTTTAAAGTATTACATCTTTCATCAATGGGATGAGTCACTGTAATACTATAACTTGTTCTTTGAAGCATACACACAAAAGTTATTGTTGGATTGGTTTGTTCTGTAGCAAAAAAAAGAAAAAATCACTGTCAAATAATTGACTTTTCTCCTTCTAGAAAGAGTTACAGTACTATAATTTATGCTGGTCAGTTTATAGTGGGATACTTTCTGGCCTTGGGCATTGGCAAGCAGAGGTGGGATTTAGTATTACATTTATCATAGCTATCATTTCCATGAATCATTTAATTAATATCTATTGAATTTATGCAGGATGCCCTACATTATCACTTACCTCTTTTCTCTCAGAGGAGCCAAGCACAGGAAAGCTGCCACCCCCATGGTTTTTCCCATGTCTTATTATCACTTCTTTTTTTAAAAAAATTTATTGGGTTGACACTGGTTAACAAAATTATTCAGGTTTCAAGTGCATAATTCTATAATATATCATCTCTACACTATATTATGTGTTCACCACCCCAAGTCAAGCCTCTGTCCGTCCTCATTAATCCCTTCCTATACCCTCCTCCACCTCTCTCAACCCCTCCACCCCCCACTTCCCAGGCAATCACCAAACTTACACTTCCGTCCCTCACCCTGTCTTGAGAAGCTTGGCCAAGATACAAGAGTATACAAATAATGACTTTCTTTATTACACAGGAAAAACAAGTGTCCTGATAGCTAGTTTGAAAACTCACCTTAGAACTGAGAATTCTAGATGCCTCTCATGTGCTTGCCTCATAGAATATTATTGTTCCAAAATATTTGTCACTTTTTACTTTTTTCTGAAATGACTGGTTTAAGAATAACCCTCTCTAACTGAACTGAATGAGGCTGCTGAACTCAGGGGCAGATCACACTTGGTATACAGTGTCATCTTAATAAACATTGGGCACCAGTAATTTTCTAGTGTAATTTCATCTAGACTTTTTTAGTCCTCAGGTTGTTGGCACTTAGCTCTTCCAACCCCTTTAATGCAGATGACCATATGTTGAATACAGTTATCATGTATTGCATGTGTAGAATCAAAAGGTAGTTTATTGAACCTCTTCATAAAGAAATCTTATTGTACTTTCAGGATCATAATTTTTTATTACTCAAATGTGGTTATCTTTAGGTTTTTTGTTTGTGTTTTTTCTTTTTCAGGTGTACCTGAAGGAAATCTTAAAAGAAATTGGTATTCAGAATGTAAAAGGGATCCACAAAAACACATGGGAGCTGAAGCCAGAGTATAGACATTATCAAGGAGAAGAAAAGAGTGATTAAGAAGACTCCACGCCAGCATGCTAACAGAACAAATAAGGGTGATGTGTTAAGCATACGGCATTGATACTTGAACTTGAGCCCCATGTGTTGTTATAGGGGCAAAATGACTGAAACTTTAATTTCTGTAGGTAAATTTCTTAAACAATAATTCTTGAAAAATTATTGAAGTGGTTTTGTTTTGTTTTGTTTTTTTGAGGAGAAATAACAAACTTATTTATAGACTTAACTTGTATTAAACTAGATTATTCCTGATGGGGTTAGGAGTTGGGGTTAAGAGGTTCTGTAATTAAAGCAAATCAAGGAAATAACTATCCATTGAGATAAATATTTTTCTGTATTATTCGTTTTCTTAACAGAACACTAGAATGTTGAGATTGAGTACCACTGTACTAGGAAAATTTTTATCCTTGCATCCCCTTTGTAAAGTAAAATTCTGATTAAGGAAAATGGTCTTATTTCCTACCCTGCCTCCAGTTGTCTTACCCTGCATTGTTCTAGTGCAGGAACCAAATCTTGTTTCACCATTGCCCTCCAGTTCCTAATTATTTGAGGCTGAGTGTCAAGAAGCAGATAGATAATGCTGCGATAAATTTGTATACAACTGATAATTCTGGATGCCTGTCATGCTTGTTTTGTACTATGTGGTAGACTGGTGTCATTCCTGATTAATTTTTTGGAATTGCTTTCTCATTCAATACTAAAATATGGCTGTTGGTCATGGAAGAGACTCCCTTCGACCTGGGTTTCCACGTTCTTTTATTTCAGGACTCTCTAGCTCTGATAAACATGCTTTTGACCAGTGTGAGATTGAGAGGAAGGCTGATATACATCTGGCAAGATGTCACATCGTGAGGGCAGGAAGGCCATATTTAATAGATGGGATTGTTAAACTCAGCCAGTAAATGGGATGTTTTAATCCTACCAGACCTGAGGCCCTGAAC